ACCATTAGTTCTATGGTTATGGGATCAAGGCATTTCTCTCAAGCCTTGTCAGGTTGCAACAAATGTTTATTTTGTCAGTCAACATACTCAGAGAATTCTCCAGGCTATCTAATCGGTGAGTGACCAAGTTTTCATCATGCCAAGTTCTCATATGTTCCAGCGTGCCTTGAATTGCAGAGAAAATCAAGTGTTTCAGTCAATTCGAAACAGTTTGAACAAAAAAATAGTATTTTACAGACTTCAAAAATTCATGACTTTCATCCGAAAAATTATTTTCCAGTGGGTCTTTAGGCATTATAGCCGCCATGACACCCTCTTAAATTCATATGTTCGAGTTGGAAACCAATTCTTTGAAGAAGATCTTTGAATTTGCAAATACCCTGAAAATGGTACCCTGAAATGTTTGTCTGGTTGACTATTTCTCGGATGTTGCAAAATTCCTAACTTGTGATAATAAAATTATCTTTGAGTGGTTCTTTAGGCATTAGAACTATCTTGAAATCCTCTTCAATTCATATGTTCATGTAGGAAGCCAATTATGTGAAGAAGATCTCCAAAAGTGCAAATTACCTGAAAATTTCAAAGTGAAATAGACTGTCAGTCAATTGTTTTCTCGATATTCAAAAAATCATAACTTTCTCAATTCTTAAAACTTTGAGAAGATTCTCGAACCATGGTATCATAAATTTTTTTAGCTACAACTTTTCTTCAGGTCCCGAGTTCGGATTATGCTCTGAAGGCTTCGATTTATGGTTTGTTCCTCATATTGGCTAGAGGAAAAGCCGCACAACCAAAAGACGGAAATCTGGCTGCAAGTTTCTCGTCTTTTTGAAATTCATAACTTTCTAGATTTTTACCGTATCAGGGCGATTATTTCGGCATGACGTCAAAAATTTTGTCATCTACATTTTTACTTTGGGGCCCAAGTTCAAATTCTACACCAAAAGTGATGAGCTTATGGGTTGTTCTCGAACTGTAAACAAAAATATGCGGAAAATTATGCACTACCAAAAAACAAGGGAAAACTAGTTTTCTATTCCATTTTCCAAACAAAGCCTTAACTCACTTCTATATATTTCTTGGATTCAAATCAAAAGCACTTTTCACTCATTTTTCTCAAATCACACTCAAGATACAAGAAAAGCTCTCAAGTTCTCTCTTCCTTCTCTCTCAACCAAGTCCGATCTCTCTTCCTCCCTAAGCTCTGGCGACCCCCCTCTTTCGGACTCCACCCTACCCGGCCTCTACCCTTCCGGCCATCCCAGCCGCGGACAACCCTTCCATGCAGATAACTCCCTCCACTCGGTGCGTACTCTTTCCACAACCGTTTTTCCATCCCTTTGACAAGTTCCTTTGATCTCCATTCTTCCTTCTCTGATCAAGCTTTACGTCAATTTCGGTAATATTTCTTGAACTCACTTCATATAATTGTTTCATTGATTTTAATTGTTGAATTAATTTCATATGTTGACTTTTGCATGAGATGAATTTTAATTGAGGAATTATTTGAATTTTGATGTTGATAATGTTGAGAATTGTTGAAATCGATTGATTGATTGAGATTATTTATGGAGTTTACGCGTCGACGCGATAATTGTTGTTAATTGTTGAGATCTACACGTCGGAATTAAATATTGTTGATTGTTGAGATTTACGCATTGTAATTTAATTCTGATTCCATACTTTCTGATAATTTTTAAACTCATGTATTAGATTCAAATTTCGAGTTGATTATTTTTTTCGACACATAAATAAATTTTTGTTCCAATGCTTAAAATTGTGGTACCGGTACCGATTTAATAGATGCATATTGTTTGTGAATTCTGATTGAATTTTCATGTGTTGATGTTCAGATTTAGTGCATTAAAACTTTGATTTCAAACCAATTTTTTTGTGAACATCAACATATGCACCATGGCTTCCCAGAGATCACAAATATACTGTAGACCATGTTTTAATTGTTGCTCGATGCATAAGTGATCTTGTGTTAGTAATTAATTGATACCGATATCAATTTTGGTTGATTTAAATACAACTTTTTGAGCATTTCATGTGTTAATTCAATGTTGTCCGGGAAATGGTTTTTGCATGTACATTATGATTTAATTCATACTTTTTGCGCATTTGAGCTTATTATCATATTTGGTTGATACCGGTATCAACTTTGGTTGATTTAAATCAGAGTTTTTGAGCATTTTGTGAAGTGTAATGTTGCTGCCCAGAGTTGGTAAGTATGTGTGCGTTGTGATTTAATTCCGACTTAATGTATGTTTGAGCTTGTTAGCATATTTGTTTGACATTGGTACCAAGTTTGGTTGATTTTATTCCGACTTTTCGTGCACTTTCATGTGTTAATATGATGCTGCACGCTTATTGATTTTATGGTTCTAATGCATGTTTGTAACTTGTTTATTGATGATTAGATTCCAATTTAAGTTGTTATGTGAATGCGTAACTTCGATTACATTTCCTTGTTATTTTTACCTCATTTGTTGACTTGTGCAAGGTGATTCAAGAGAGCTTTCAATCAATTAATTAATTGTTGATTATTCGATTAAAGAATTAGTTCCACTTATTTTGTTGTTCAGTTTAGCTCTAATGCAATTGAGCTTGGTGTCTCATTTCAGGAGATGTATACATTGCTTGTGTTTTTGTCTAGATTTGTATTTTTGTGCAGGTTTATTGTGAAAAATTCGGATGTATCCGATACTTTCTGATTGTGATATATTTTCACATAGACGATGCTTTGATGCTTATGTCAGGAGATTTGACTTCTGACTTCTTTCTTTATTGGTGAAGCTTTCACAAAGTTTTTGGGGTTTCTTACGCTTTGTTATATAAAGGTGGATTGTTATCCATTTGGTATTTTTCTCATTTACCTTATTTCTGCATTGTCTTTCCATTTCCTTTCCATGAGAAGTAGGAGTAGAGATGCATTCTTGGGAGTCCCTACTTTAAGTGAGAAAAATATGTTAAAAGTCATCAAAGGAGGTAATGTTGTGTTTGTTTGTGTGCAAAAGACCTCGACGAAGGCATATCCCATTCCCCTTTATTTTGTGCCAAGACCTCGAAGAAGGCATTTATAAAGTCCTGAAAGAAGGCAATAAGGTGAAGTATGTGTCCGCAATCAACCCACGTCATTTCAACTCCCCGGGTCATTCGTTGCTCACATCGTACGTCGATGCTATGAATCATGTTACTCTTGTTATCGATTCGGTCGAGTGGAAAAGGGTTCGTAGTCCACCCCCATAATTTGTGTCTAGATCACGTTGGTCTACATTGATTGCTTCGTGTTTGTTCATATTGTATTTTATCTCCTACCTTGATGACATGATATCATGGTTAGGTGTTTAGTCACTTTGGACATACACCTTTTCTCTTCTTTTTCCTAGATGACACGATATATTGGTAAAGGATCGACACCCTCTCTTCTTTATTTCTTACCTTAATGACATGATATCATGGTTAAGAGTTTATCCCTCTCCCTCATTTCTTGCCTAGACTTGATATCTTGGTTAAGACTTGATGTTCCTTCATACTTCTTGCCTAAATGACACGATATCTTGGTTAAGAACTTTCATTATCCTACCTTGATGACATGATATCATGGTTAGGTGTTATCCCCTACTTGTTCTACCTTGATGACTTGATATCATGGTTAGGCATTTATACGTAAGTAAGTGTTCACTTCTCATGCATTATGTTCTTGCTTTCATGTCTTTGTTAAGTTCTTGATTGCTTGTTGTAGCGGTGAAAATCAAAGATCAAGCTATTAATTAACTTGACTCACAAATAAGCTAGAGTCTCCACCACGCTTTAATATTTCCAAGGGAAAGGGAAAAGTACGAAATAAAACCCATAAATATGCAAAGTAAGTGCGATACTAAAAGTAATGAAAATACAACGCGTTTTTTGAAAGAGATCTAAAGTTCGGGGGTTAGTTACACAAAAGTGAAGGTACTAGCACCCAATGTATATGTGGTACTCTGCATGAACCTTTTTAAATATTTGTTTTTTGGTTAAAAATTGTTTGTTTGTTTAAAATAGTTTGTTTGGTCAAAATGGGTGTGGACGAGATTTTGAAGATACGACGACCTAGTGTCGAAGTTTTGACTTTAAAGGTGTGAGTTTTAAAATTGAGTCTTTTAGGAAAATTAACTTAAGATTAACAAAATAGTAAAACAAAAATGAATGAAGGGATTCTCACAATCGTATAAGATATGTTCGATGACGTGAAGTCAACAAATTTAAATCTTTCTCTTGGAATTAGACGTAAACAAAATAACGATGTAAAGACTGAATAATCGAAGAGAGAATTAAATAGATAACAATTAAATAGATAAGTAATAAATAACCAAAAACAATAATTAAATAACAGACTAAATTGTATTAACATGCATTTTTTTTATATTTTTATGATGGCAAGAAATAATTATATATATAAAAATCTAAACTAAAATTTTTGTATTAGTAAAATAAGACTGAAAATGGTGAAATAAAGCTAAAAAGCAGGAATCAAAGATTGAACTCAGGTCTTTTTACTCACAACTAAACTACCTTGTCACTAGGCTAATGCTACTTATCTGTCATATGTACATTTTAACTAAACTAAAAATGGAAAAGGTTGAAACAAAATTGGGCTAAAAGGTCCATGGGTTGACCTGGGTTTGGAGAGATAAAGAAAGGGTTTAAAAAAACCTAATTTGAAGAGGAAGGCGCCACATTCCTATTTTCATTGGGAAGGGAAAGAAAACCAATTATTATTAATTCCCAAAAAACTCTATTTTGCATGTTACCGTAAAAAACAAAAATTAACTATCTCTCAATCGAATCTCTTTATCCTTCTCTTCTTAGTCACTTTTGATTCATGGCGGCCGCTTCCTCTTGCCTTCTAATGTTTGTTGATTTTAGGAGCATCATCATCTCCTCTCTGTTCATCGTCATCAGCGTCTTCATCGGGGTCCACCAGATTATCACTGGTAACTTCATCATCGTCGGAACTAGCCACACGAGCTACAACTTCCCGCTCTTCTTAATCTTCTTCTTCGTTGATCTATTGATTCACTTGCTCTTCCTCTGATGAGCTCGGCGAGTTGGAGAATTCTTCGTCGGAAGAAGCTTGTTGCTTCGAAGCTTTCTCCATTGAATCTCGAATTCGAGGGTTTGTGTTGTGAGCGGTAGAGAACGGAAGAGGGGTTGGTGGAGAAGACGAGGTTTACAGTGGGAGTGTATTCGATACTGTTGAAGGAGTGTGGATGAATAGGTTCCATAAATTGAAGCTGATGGTGTTGCGGGTCTGGTATGAGACGAATGAAGATGAAAGAGGAGAATGAATCAGGATTTCTCTATGCGTTTTTGGTTCACATTTCCAACCGTAGATTTATTGCTTACGAAAACAACAACAACACAACAACAATAACGAACACTTTATCACAGTTGTGGAATTCAACAACAACAACTCTAAAGAACAAAAAGCAACACAGAGAAAGATTCAAATAAAGGGAAAGAGAATTTACCAAGTCGGAGCTCCTCCGACGGGCCTTCAAATTATCAGGTACAATTTCGACACTCTCTTTACTTTCTAAAAATTGATTCTGCTCGCTTGTTATATGTTGTGGATGAACGCGTTTGACCGATGGGCTTGAGTTTTTGCTCTGTTGTTGTAGGTGATGCTTTGATTGGTTTTGTGTAGTTGTGTGTGTTGATTATGGAAAGTATCATTTCTGTATGAGATTGCAGGTTGTGTTATGTTGGAGATTGAAGGGTTTTTGAAGGTGAGTGGATTTGCGTAGGGATTCAGAAGGTGATGAAACGAAGGTTTAAAGGAGTGTTATGGTGATGATTTTTACGGTTTCGCAGATGGATTTGAAGATGTAGAAAAGTTCTGCAAAACTTTGACAAAGTTTCAATTTTTTTTGTAGAACTTCTTATGTATTGGAGTTTTATGAGGATTTATGTGATATCCCTTTTTTCTGTTGCAGGAAGCCTTCTTATAAGCCTGTTAGAGTGACTTTGGAGGGAAAGTTTTTGGTAAGTTTAAACAAAATTATTATGCTCTGTTCTAGCTTTCTTGATGGAGCTTTTGTATAACTAATTTCGTGTAACTCTTGGTTTGATACGGTGCAGGTTTGGACATGATTGGGGGCAACATAGAGGCTGTTTTTAGACTTGTGTATAGTTAATTATGATTTGTCTTTTGCAGGACTGATATGCGGAATGGGTAACAACATTTTGAACAAATTTATGTGTTGTAGCATTGCTGAAAATTGGGCATGTGGTGCAGATTTGACATAAAGTGGACTGCAAGTTTTAAATCATGAAGCTTTAGGAGATTAGGATTAGAGTTTTGATGTACACACTTGTGATTCCTCTTGTAACTTTGTAATAATTATGAATGTAAATTTATAATGAGCTTCAAGTCGAATCTTTCCTCCTTGGTTTCGATCTATTGTAATTTGAAAACTTGAATGAATCTTGAGTTTTATGAATGATATTTGGAATGATCTCGTTTGAAAACTTTGGTTGATTAATTTTGCAAGTTATTAGAATAAAGTCATATGGAATGAGTTCTTGAATTATGATGTGACTTGCTGGAAGTCTTGAATGTCTTTGATAGAATTTTGGACATGAATGCACTTAGAATAACATTTGAATGGAATACAAATTTATTTTAAGACTTCGAGAATTATCCATAAGGAATTTTGTAAATTTTGTTGAATGATGTTGAGTGAACTTGTCACTTAACTTCCAAGCAAAACCAAATACATAAACATCCCATCTTTAGAAATTTGATCCAATTAACTTGAAGATATAATCAAAGAATTCAAATTAGTTCTCATTTCTCAAAGACACCCTAATTCAATCCATAAAATCAATTTACTCATAACAAATGAATGTCTTGATTACCACTTCACTTTATGTTCCATAACTTTTTATTCCCCAGCAGAGTCGCCAGTTCTGTAATATGGTGGGAGAACTGACTTGGGTGTTTTTGCATTTTATCGCAATTGTTGCGGATAGCAAGAGTCACCACCGACTTTTCTTTTATCTAATAAAGGAAAGGGTGAAAAGAATAGGAAAGACCTTTTGAGATATTTTCTTGAGTTCGGGGGGTAGGTTATGAAAAGGGAAGGTGTTAGTACCCTTTTCATCTGTAGTTATCTACGGGCTCTTAGTTGCTAGCTCACTTTGAAATGCTTTGTTCGAAATGTGTTTGTGGTGATTTTGAAAGTGTGATACGGTGGCAGAATCGACTGTTTATACTGGTTTGTATTTTTTTCTAGCAAATGTCGCGGTAAGCAAGAGTCGTCATCGACTTTTCTTTTATCCAAATTAGGAAAGGGTGAAAAGAACAGAAAAAGACCCTTTTTCTAGATTTCTCAGTAAGGGGGGTAGATTATGGAATGGGAAGGTGCTATCACCCTTTCCATCCATGGTTTTCCATGGGTTCTTAGGTACTTGTTCATTTTTGAAATTGCTTTCGTGTTTGTGTGTTTGAAAATCTTTGAAAAATGCCTTAGTGTGGCGATTCACTTTATGATAACTCTTGTATCAGTCCTCAAGAGTGTGATAAAGTGTTTTGAAAACTTTTGTTTGAAAAGTATGTTTGAAAGTGTAGGGTGTAAAAATTAGATTTGAGCAAGTACCTAACAATTATCTACCTACTCAAAAAAAGGAGTTCTTTTCCTTTTATCCTTTAGACCGTGTTATCCTACTATTAGTAAGTAGGTAACCCTAGCCGTTGGATGTTTGAGGGACTATCGAAAGGGACGTAATGGTCATCAAAGGCAACATGTAAGGATACCTTAGCATTTCGAAGGGACTATCATCGTAAGATCATTTCTCGTAGGAAACTCGAGGGACGTTTAGGGACTATGATCTTTACTAAGAGTATCTCTATGTTTCGAGGGACATGACCATTGTTTCCGGAGGCAACCAAGTGGGGTAATACCCTAGGGGTGCAAGTGTGCAAATGATTCAGTTCAGTTATTTATCTTGCAATTAGGGTTATCTAGGTTCAATTAATCATTATCTTTCAGGAAGCCCTATTAAACATTCATCTAAGCAGTTTATCGTGCGGGAAAGTAAATGGAAGAAATATAAAATCCCTAACTATTACAAGACTTTAATGCAGTTACATAATTAATGACTGAAAATTAAAAATGCGGAATTAAAACCCTAATTAAACTATTACAAATCGGGCGCAATTACATCAATAATGAAAAATAAATCGTACGGCAAAAATAATTAAGCGCGAGAATTAAAATTGAAAAGAAAAGTTCAAAACCGTAAAAACTAATTTGATCATTAAAATATTTTTTTTTGGATCTTTTTATAAAAAATGATTTGAAATTGACCTAATTTTCTAATTAATTTAATTAATGAAAATAAGTTAAAGTTGATTAAAATAATTAATTTGCAAAAATTAATTTAATAAAAAAACTAAGTCCTATTTTTGTGGTTTTTGATTTTATAAAAAAATGATTTAAAAAAAAAGAATTAAATTAATTAAACAAAAAATAAAAATAGTAAAAACAAAAAAAGAGTGAAGGAATGGGCCTGAGGGGTCTAAACCCAAATCTTGGGGTGGCATTCTAAATTCGTCCAAAGCCTAATCCTGTGGCCCATCACCAGTGCCGGATCCAGTGTTGTTGGGAGCCTGGAGGTCCATCATGAGGGTGCAGCCTGGAGGTGTTAGATACAAATGTTGATTGATCCAAGAGTGATGAATTTGGGGTGTAGGATGAACGCGTCGGGCATGATAACATTGGATCTGCAAATAGATATTGAGAAAAATAATATGCAGGAGACAGGGGTCGAACCCCTGACCTCCCACACATGCAATGCCTTAACACCCTTCGTTCTTGCCACTGGGCCACTTGGTCTTTTGTGATACCAAACAACAACAATACATCTTATTTAACAATTAGCAGTAATAATGAATGAAAAGCATGCGCCATTCAAATTGGCCAACTAGACTTGGACACGCCATCATCTTTTCTAAATGGATGTCGTTTTAGGCAAGACTTTTACATACGGACAACCTGCTGTAATTACAAACCTGCGTATTTCAAAAATCACAGCCATGCAATAAAAATGAAATTTAAATACATAGATCAACTGGGTTTGATCTCGTGAGTGCAATGGTGTTCATCATTTGGCTTAATTTCACTTGTATTGCAAAACCCTAAAACAAAGCTTCAAACCCTAGCAATGGTAGTTGTCCATACAAGCATCAAAACAAACAATTGATTATGCAAACATGTTCTAAATAATTATACAAACATGAATATGTAGTCAAAATTCATTTATCATGCGTAAATTGTCAAAATCGATTTCTAGAAAACAAGGGCAAATCGTGGTTCTGTATGCGTGGTTTCTGAAGGTATTGAGGCATGGTAATGATCCCAATAGCTTGCAAACGTGCCCATGAGTTGATTGCAAGCCTTATAATGCCTTGAATCTCCCTACAAATGCCAAACTGAATGCCACTTTTTTGTCAAAAAATTGGAGTTCTTGTGTCAATTCTACATAGCCAAATCCTCTTTTCCTGATCTGAGAATGTTATGAGTATACAAGGGAATGAATTAGGTCAATAAAACTGGATGCAATCTTGAAGAATTATGGAAAAAAGATTTGATTTTCCATGGATATTTTAAGTTTCTAAAATAGGCCAAATCATGCTCTTTTTGTTCCAATCATCCCTTGCGCGAAAATCTTGATTTGCCAGCTGATTATAGACTCACCATGTTGTCATAAAATCAAATCTTGGATTTTATTTTATTATTCCATTATTTAAATTGATTTATTTTGATTTAAATGAATAAAAAGTCAAAAAAAATAATAAAAATATTAAAATAATAGGTGGATAAGCTCAGGGGTCGTGGGTCCTCTTAGGAATAAGCTTCAAACAAGAAAACATAGGCCCATTTGGAAAAAAATCAATTTTGATCAATGTTGACTTCATGCACATTTCCAAAATTTGGTTAACTTTAGCAATGCATATCTCTCTCAGTTTTGACCCTAAAAGGGTGTTCTCTGAATTTTTAGAAAGCTTAGGATGTCCTATAAAGAACCATTTTGGTTTCATCTCAATTGGACCTTCCATGTTCATGTAAGGAGCTTTGACCCAAAAGGTGTTTTTGTTGACTTTTTGAAATGACCTATAATGTCTGAGCTTATATCTTTTGATTGAGGCATTTCTTAACCTTGAGGGCTGAAGAGAAGTTGTAGGGAATTGAATTCTCTTCAAAATGAGCCTTGGTTGGAA